GTCTGGTAGGATTCGTGTTTGTGGTGGTTTTTTGGGGTGGGTTTTTTTTTGTTAAATTCAGACAATCGTTCGAAATGGACCTGAGTCCATTATCTTTCTTGGCGCAAACTGCTTTGGATGTCCTCCATAGGGAGCGGGATGACCCGCTTAAATGAGACATATATACATCTATAATGTCATGTTATCTATCTTTTCTTCAAAAATACACTGGCGTGCATGCGTATGTTACCCTTGCTAGGAGAAATTTAGGCAAAGTACTGTAAATTTTTACTGATATTAATTTGCTGGATGATCCATGATAACTATCAGTTTGTATTACAAAGCGGGAAGGGGCGGGGGGGAAGGACTCAAAGAGGGTTTTTTATCGAGTTCTATGTGACAATTTCCTAATAGATCTCATTTGTATTTGTCCTATTAATCTAATTACCTGGTGATTTCAAGTCTCAAGGTAGACGGGGTCAGGCCTATAACACTGATGAGAGCTGTGTGAGGAAAACATCACATTTGAGGAAGAAGGACTCACTGCTGGTTTACTGCCAGTTTACTGCTGGTTCTGTCATTCAAATGGAATATAAACCTGTTGTTGTGACTAGTTTGGGTCATTGCATTCCCATGCCTTTCTTTCACCCTTAAGCACTGGAAGAAAAGGACAGAATTGTGAGTGATTTCCAATCCTGTTAATTACTGACTATGCTCAAAGCTTCATTTGCAAATTAAGTTGAAAGATATTTTTTTCTTTTTCAGTCCTTAACTATTTCTGATAACAATCCTATCAGAAATTCCCTTTTTTGCATTGTAAGCGACCACAGTTCACCAGCATACTATTTTCTTTGGGTTTGGTTAGTGTAACCTCAACATTTGGGTTAAGTTTGCCACCATAGCTTTCTCTCTGCCTTTCCTTATGCCTAAAAAATATTTTGGGGACTGAAAATGCTCAAGTGCCAATCTGAAGTGTTTGGGTTTTTTTTTAATGTGCTTCTTTGCAACAGGTTGGAGTTTGTGCATATGGTTTAGGTGTGTGCAAGCAAAACAATACATATATACATATAAAGGGGCATACATGCACTTATTCACTTGTGTAATTTTTTCCAAGATATTGTTCCAGCAGACCACAGCAAATTTCTTACAGTCTTTGAAGAAGAATGCCACTCAGCGTTTCAAAGTAAAAAAACAGGAGCTGAGATATATTTTTGTTATTTTAAAGCAACAAAGGTTTGTGTGAGAGGACAAGTACTTAGGATATAGATTTGTTTTAAGGCAAGTTGTAAACTGAGCCATGCCAGCAGAAGATATTTAGGATACAGTCCTTCCTTACTGCGCACGTCTTAGAGCCTGGGCACCTGTAAGAGTGAGAGAGCCTTCCATTCTTTGTTACTCAGAATTTACTGTGCAACTGTCCTCCTCACGTGCCCGCGTATTCCCAGATCTTACCTTTTTTTGTCATATGAGCTGTACGCAGTAAGCTACTTCCATTTCAGCACAGATTCCTACATACGAAATGATATCCTGGGCTTATGTCCTGGAAGGATATTTTAGCCTCAAAATGGAAATTGTTTGAGCTTATAAGAGTCCTTTCTCATATTTCACAGAGGAGCCAGCGTGCTGGTGACTGACAAGCATAAAGAAAATGAGGTGAATATAAATACATGGTTGTGTTTTCCTCTAACTTGTCATGAAGTTTTCTGACATCTCAGAGTGCTTTCCGTTCACCTAATTGAAAATGGGCTTTCATGTATTGAAGCAAGAAGGCTAAGCATGTAAGAGCTTGGAAAGAATCTTCAAGAACTCTTTTCTTCTATGTAGTAAGAGCATTAAATTGCTTTGACCAGTTCTGGAGTTCTTTTATGTGTCCTAGATCATAGTTCTGTTTTGTTGTTGTGGTTTTTTTTCATGGAAAGGACATGAGTGTGATGTGTATATGTAGGAAAAAATAGTGAGGAATGTGTATGGGGAAAAAAGACTAATATATTGTGTTCTTTTCAGAGTGGGGCCTGAATTTCCCTTTGTAACTGTATGATATTTGAGCTTTTGACTGGGGATCTCAGATGCTACCACAGTAAAAGTAATAGTAATAAATGATATTGTGGTATGAAAGTGATATTTAAGGGTTTGCTGTGGCTCTAGACATGAAAGATGAGCTTTTATCCTAGTACATACATTGTTAGTATATATGAAGCCATATTCGGAAACATTTTAAATGTTTACTGGTATCAGTTTATCTCTGCCAGGGAGAACTGTGTAGCTAAATATTTAGTACCTGGAATCCAGAAGTCCTTGTATCCTTGTTCAGGTTTTTGGACTTAGTCTCTGAAGTTCTTGAAAATCCATTGTTTTTCTAACAAAAGGGATTTTATAAACACAAACATGTCATGATTTTTTATCTGAGATTCTCACACCTTTTCAAAGCTGGAAGCAAGGTTTTCGTGCATCCATGGAAGGCAGAATAACTTGTGATCACTCAGAGACTGTGATCCTGTTTTTTCAGGGTCGTAAGCAATTGGCCCTTATGACTTCCTGGTGGTACTGCTTTTCATCTTGTTCCCTGGTGAAACTGAGGTGAAGACAGGTTGAAGCATCCTTATTTAGTCCCAAAAATTTAATTTCAGCAACTGACAAAAGCAGCTCAACGGGTTGGAATGATATAATAAGTATGAAAGTAAAATAGATTAGTAGAGAGTCTTTTTCCTTGTAGGTCTCTTATTTTACTGGTTTTGAGAGTTTTATGGAGCTGTTACCAATTTTCAATATCTTTTTTATTATCAAAAAGCGAAGATAACATCTGCCTTTGAAGCAGATGTTATTTTCTGCAGATGCAGCTGTTCTTTTCTATTAGACATTATAATGATTGGTATGTGATACTTTCAAGTTTGTTTACATACGCTTAGTTTGTTCTCTGGGGTTACAGATGTTAACAAATTCCTGTCACCAACAGGGAGGGGTGACTAGGTTTTCACAGAGAGTAGTAGACTTGATACAGCATGATGGAGGAAATGCTGGATGAGTGAACTGCCTTGCTTATGCTCAGCCACCCAGCGCTCTTCCTTCTTCCACCTTTTTCTTTCTCGCAAAATGAACAAGCTGTTCTGTGAGCAGCAAAACTAAGAAAGCCTGGTTTCCTGTAGACCTTTTGCTTTGTCACCTGAATCCTGTGAGCTGCAAAAATGCCAGTTCCTCTATGTCCTCATGATACAGCATTTATTAAGAGACAGCACAAGTGGGACTAGCCAAGAACCACGTAGGTGCTGGCTGCCCAGTCAATAATATGTGCAGTGGTTGCCCAGTTGAACAGTGACAGAACAGTTTGTTGCCTCTTTTTTAGCGGGGATATATCTTAGCTACTGCTGCTGACATAAAATATATAGCTTAAACTCAGACTATTACTTATTTCTATTAACTTTGTTTCAGTTTTGCTATTCTAGGGTTGTACTGCCTTGTCTGTTCTTTGACTACTCTTCTTTGTATTTCTGGATTTTGTCATATTTTGTGGGATACCTGAGAAAGCTCCTTATGTCCGAGTTGGCTGCTTATTTTGGTGTCAGCTTGACTGTTAGTTTTCTCTGCAAGTATAAGTAGTTGCCTTCACTGAAAGAGGTGAACAAAACTCCAAGTATTAAGACATTTGGTGGAAAGAAGTTACAAGGATGTAACTAAGAGAGTACTAGTGCAACAGAGTTAAGGAAGAAATACTGAGAAGAGGAAAGCTGATGGTGACCTATATTGCATCTTCAAATAATAGTAGTGTGAGGGAAGTAGCATAAACAATAGACAAAATACTAGAAACTTCATCTGGGGAGAGTTCTGGATTGTTAGGAATATGAGCTATCTTATATATGTTCCATCTCTGAGTTTTATGTTTCAAGTCAGAAGAGATATGTTCTGCTTAATTATCAGGAAGTTTCTGCACAAAAAGTAGAATTAGGGCTACACAGTTGTAGTGAGAGGGGGCAGGGAGAGAAGTGTGGAAAGATGATGAAAAACTACATTTTGCTGCACAGGCATGTGTTAACAATTCAAGGAGACACTGCTTTATGCATTCTTTTATGGCTAAAAATTCCCTTATATCAGCTCCTCTTTTCCTATTGTGTATGTAAGTCCTAGGCTTGAGATGAGAGGCAGTTGTAGGTGTAAGGCAGTGGCCATACTGAGTGAAGCCATAGCTCTTTTTAGGCCGGTGATTTGCTCTGGAGAGTGACCAGCTGTGCAAGTGTGAGGAAGAGCCACACGTGCAGAGTCAGCAGTAAAGGGCAAAGGACCTATGCCTTCAGAGCAGTTAGTTTCTGCAATTAATTAATGTCTTCTTGCAACCCTTGCCTCTTCTCAGTATTGTAATACTGGTCAGGAGCCTGCTGCCTTTTGGATACCAGTCAAGGAGGACTGAGCATGGGAGAGAACCACACTGAGAGAAGTCTTTTTAAAGAGAACTTCTTACTGTAGTTTCTTATCCATCTTTCAAATACTGTAGAGAGGAGAGAAATTACTTACATGCAGTCATAAAGGGCAGAATAGTATTTTGTGTAACAAAGGAAAACCAAACCTGCTTGATGGTGCTTTAGACTTAAACCTGAAACTCTCAAGGCCTGGGTTTCAGAACTCTGGCTGTAACAAAGTGGCATGAATAGGAAACCAAGTGATGAAAAGCAAGTTACTACGTAAATAAATAAATACTGCTGAGTATTTAGTGTGAAGACACATCATAACAAAGACAAAAAGCTTTTTCTCATTATTGCATATTACTTCTGTAACTGTGTAGCCGCTAAAGTGGCAATAGAAAACAGCATATGATTATACAATATCTTGCCTGAGTGTTTCATTATGTACTCTACGACTATTTACAGGGTATTCTAGAAAATGAAGTGTGTTAGAATCACAAATTATGTGTAGGAGTTATTTGCTGAAACACAGTTTCTTGATACTGTAACCATTCTAATTTGTGTTTGTTTTTTTTCTACTTTCAACATTGTTTTCATAGGATTTTTGGCTTCTTGGAGAAACAGTAGAAAATGCAAAACGAAATAATAAAGCCTGCTAAATACTTCTCAGAAGTGGAGAAAAGTGTGCTGCTTGCATTAGTTGAGAAATACAAATATGTGCTTGAATGTAAGAAAAGTGATGCAAGAACTATTGCTCTGAAGCAACGTACTTGGCAAGCACTAGCTCATGAATATAATTCCCAGCCCAGCGTATCGCTGCGAGACTTCAAGCAGTTAAAGAAATGCTGGGAAAATATCAAGGCACGGACAAAAAAGATAATGGCACATGAAAGGCGGGAGAAGGTAAAAAGGAGTATTAGTCCACTTATAAATACTCACATCATAGGGA